GAACTACCCATTTCCAGGCGGCTGTTGTAGTGGCAGCTTCCGACATGGTGTCAATCAACTGAACTTGAACTTGAACCGCTCCTTTCTCCGGAGATCTGCTCGATCCAGGGCCACTATAAATCCTAATGACGGGATTCTCTCTCAAGTATTTTGCCTTTGCCAGGCAGTCCTCCATGGAGTAAGACCTTCCCTGAACGTCTCCCCCATCCACCTTCGCCAACTGGGCCCAGGCATCTGCAAAAGATTCATCCAGGGAGATCGACTTTTGGTAGCACTCCTTCTCAGAAAAGACTGTCCCATTGACCTCCCCACCTCCCAGAAGTCCCAGGTGAAACCACGCCAGTTGGGTCTCATGTTGCGAGAGAGCGGCCAAAAAGCAGTCCTTTTCAGAGTAGGCCTTGCCGTTCACCTTGCCAGCCCCCAGTATGCCAAGCTTCGTCCAGGCCAGGCCTCTCTCGCCCTTGCGAAGAGTTGGACTGGTCTCATCTAAGGAGAGGGCCCTGATGTAGCAATCCTTCTCAGAAAAACGTCTCCCTTTCAGCGGCCGCCCACCTCCCTTAAGGCCCAGCTGGTACCAAGCCTCCACGTTGCTGAAGTTAGCAGCAAGAGCTTCTAGGTAGCACTCCTTCGCAGAGTAGGACGTTCCATGTAGCTTGCCACCCCCCAGCATGCCAACATTTGTCCAGGCCACGGCCTTCTTGATGTTGTTTAGCGAGGAATGGTTCCTCTGGGTCTCATCTAAGCCGAGAGATCTTAAGTAGCAATCTTTCTGGGGAACGACATGCCCATCCACCAGCCCACCTCCAAACTAGCCCAGGAGGAACCACGCTGCAGCACAAGTGCTATCCATCGACAGTGCTTCCTGGAAGCACTCCTTCTTGGAGTAAAGCTTCCCATTCACATTGCCACCTCCAAAAAGGCCAACGTTTGTCCAGGTGATGGCATTCTTTTTCTCCCTCTTGCGCGACAAGGAAAGAGCTTTCTCGAGGCACTCCAACTCTGTGTAGAACCTGCCCCTCACTTCTCCGCCGCCCAGCGACCCGACGTTGTTCCAGGCGTCTGGGCTCGTCTCATTCAGCAAGAGGGATCTGATGTAACACTCTTTCTCAGAAAACATTATTCCATTCACCGTCCCACCTCCCAAAAGGCCAAGTAGGTTCCAAGGTTCGGCTGAGGTCTCATTCAAAGAGAGAGCTTCTAGGATACATGCCGTCGCAGAATAGAACGTCCCGTTCACCTTGCCCCCGCCACCTTTGCCGAGATTCATCCAGGTGGCAGCCGTCAAGGCCACCATGCCTGGAATAGAACATGTATAGTATCATATTATGTTCTGGAAATAGGTTATTATATTGTACTGTAAAACTTTCTATTGTGTTACATAATGTTATGTTGTGGTATGCTCTACTAGATTATATTGCATCACATTCTCTTGTATTATGTTATACTTCTTTAAGGTAGTACATTCTACTGTATTCTATAGTATTATACTGCATTATACCGTATTCTATTATATTAGACTGCATTACATTGCATTATATTGTATTGTATTGTGTTTATATTATATATGTATTTCATTTTGTTATACTTACATTTCCTAAATTCATTATCCTATCGTTTATCTTGTCTTGTCTTATCTTATCGTGATGATATGTTCTATGATAATCATGTCACCTTAAACCCTAAACCCTAAACCCTAAACCCTAAAGCCTGGATCAGTGGTAGTGGCAACCTCGGGCTTCGCGGCCGGTACGTTTGCGTAGGCGATGCCCAGACCCAGCAGCGCGCCGAGCGCGCCCACGCAAAGCACCGCTTGAAGAAACACCCGCCCGAGGCCTCGAAGCTCATGGGGCTTTGGGGTTTTAGGGTTTAGGGTTTAGGGTTTCGGGTTTAGGGTTTAGGGTTGAGGGTTTAGGGTTTCGGGTTTAGGGTTTAGGGTTGAGGTATTTAGGGTTTAGGGTTTCGGTATTTAGGGCTTAGGCTTCCAGGGGCCTCGCAGCTTCAAAGGAAGGCTCCGAATTGATGCCATTGTACCGTATGGAGTTCTGATGATCTTAACTTGAATCGTCCAAATGCTTCTGTACCCTAAACCCTAAACCCTAAACCCTTACTGTGCAGCAACGCAGCTTCCATTAACAAGTTTGCATCAATTCCTGCCTGATCCATGGCCTTTTCGGTTCCACCCCTACGTCAGGAGGCTCATCCAGCATTTCGAAGCCCCCCATCTCGCTCGCCTCTGCCTGCAAAAGCACGTCCATGTTCGACATGGCCAGACCTACTTGCAGTCTAGGGTCTGGGGGTGTGGGGGTTAAGGTTTAAGAGGGTTTTGGGTTTAGGGTTTAGGGTTTAATGTGTAGGGTTTTAGGGTTTAGGGTTTAGGGTTGAGGGTTTAGGGTGTAGGGTTTTAGGGTTTAGGGTTTAGGGTTTAGGGTTGATGGTTCAGGGTTTAGAGTGCATTGAACCAAAAAGGCTCAACAGGCGAGACTGCAAGGGAAACTGCGGCGCCGGTTCCAAAATCGAGTCGAGTACAGGGGCCTAAACGGAATGGGTTTTGGGGGGTCTCATAGTACAGCTATATGTGGACTATACGAGAACAGTATCACTATATTCCATCCTAAACCCTAAACCCTAAACCCTAAACCCTAAACCCTAAACCCTAAACCCTAAACCCCTAAACGATAAACCCTAAACCCTAAACTCCAAGCTCCATGGCCTGAAACATACGAGCATTCTTCATCACCGCCAGGGTCCCAAACCGCGAGCCGCAAGCCCAAAGCATCAAGTCCCGAAGCTCTAAACCCTGACTCCTAAACCCCCAAACACCCTAAACCCTAAACCCTGACTCCTAAACCCCCAAACACCCTAAACCCTAAACCCTAAACCCTGACTCCTAAACCCCTAAACACCCTAACCGTATGTTTAGGCGGATGGTTCAAGAATCCCGGCACTCGGCATCGGGCGTGGCTGGGAGACTCATCCTCGCGTTGGCTCCAGAAAAGAAACGTTGTCAGAGTCAACGGTTGGTTGAGAACCCAATACCCCGTAAATAAGGAATATACCTTAAAGTCCTTAATATTATGATTTAAGGTATGTTCCTTAATTAAGGGGTATTGGGTTCTCTGGGGAGTGACTGTTGGGGGTTTAAGGTTTAAAGGTTTAGGGGTTTAGGGGTTTAAGTTTAGGGCTCCGGGTTTAGGTTTAGGTTTAGGTTTGAGGGTTTAGGGATTTAGGGGTTCAGGGGTGCAGGGTTAAATATTGAAGAGCCTGGGACCAGGCTTGCAAATGTCCTTGGTTGTACCTAAGCTAAACCTAAACTTGCGAGCGCTTCAGGTTTTCATGTCGGTGATTCTTTTGGGGCTTGGCGTCTGGATCTGGTGTTTGGACTTGTTTTGCTATGCAAGTGTTAGGATTGGCTCCATATTAGCCCTTCAACAGCCCAAAAAAAAAGGAATGCAGCGTGGGCCCCGCAACAGCCTTTGGCCCGAGTCAACCCAGACCCAGATCTACGAACCACTCCCGGGCCACAGATGCCACAGAGACGAAAGCGCCACAACCCGGAAAACGCCCAAACCCTCACGCCCCCTCCCTCTCCCCCTTCACCTAAAAACTGCTCAAATCTGATGCCAAATTCTCCCCCTTCCCGGCTAAAGCCCCGCAGCCGCGGTGCCTGACCAAAAGAGCTGGCGTAGTCCTTTCCCGACCCAAACCCACTTTGGGCCGGTAGGCCTTAATGCTGTATTCATAATCCGTATTTAGGGAAATGGGTTTGAAGATAAGGGCTCTGCGCTGGGATATGCTGTTTGGGACCTGGTGCAGCATGAGGGCTCAGGTTCAGTGATTCTGTTGATGATATAAACCCTGCATTACCTTAAGGACCTTAAACTATGAGAATTATGGTATATTCCGTACTATGGGCAATGCAGGATTATTTATATCATCAACCGTTAGGGGCTTTGGTTGCATGACGTTTAAAGGCTGTGGGGAATCTTCTGAACCCTAAACCCTAAACCATCAAAGGCTTCGGAAACCCTAGGGAATAGTAGTACTGAGGAGTTTCTGCTTCGGATGGCACTGGGCTTAAGTGTCTACTTGGGTTTAGGGTTTAGGGTCTAGGCTTTAGGGGTTTAGGGGTTAAGGGTTAAATGGGTTTAGGGTTTAACCCTAAACCCTAAACCCTAAACCCTAAATCCTAAACCCTAAACCCCAAACCCTAAACCCTAAACCCTAAACCCTAAATCCTGATACCGCAACCAGTTCAAGGGCTCTGGCTTGAGGCTTCGGGGTTTCGGGTTTAGGGTGTGTATACAATGTGCGCGAGGTGGGTGCGTCTTTTGCTTTAGGAATAGGGGCGCATCACTTATCGCACGCTCGCATCAGCATGTAGTCCCGCCCCGAACAGCCCAACTAGTCTCAATCAGGGTTTAGGGCTCGCCGCCCCCAAACCCCCTCAAGGGGGGGCTTTCTTGCTCTCTGCTCCCCCTCGCAGTTCGCATAAAATGCAGACGCTCCGCGAGAAGCCCGAAGCTCTCAACCCCCAACTCCCTACCGGAGAACCGCATTCACAGGAACGGATAGACGGTCCTGAGCAGCCAGGCGTGCGCCGTGACCTCAGCTCTAAACCCCGAAACCCTCAACTACGGTGTAGCGTTTAGGGTTCAGGGGTTTAGGGTTTAGGGTTTAGGGTGTAGGGTCTTAGGGTTTAGGCTGTAGGGTCTAGTGAAAAGCAAACCTTTAAAAAAGCCGATAGAATCCCAAAACAACCACACAACCCTATTGAAAAGTAACAGTCCCTCATAAAGCAACCACAGAACCCCGTGAAGCGACCTCGAAAATCCCATTGAACCCTATGGGAATCTGTATGAAATCCCGGTATTTTGATAGTGGCCCACGACCACCAAAATTCAGCAGCACGGCCAAAGTGCTTCCCCGATCTGCTGGCGGATCCAGAGACACACCCGCCATGCTTTCGCCCATGTACTCGCGATGAATGACTACTGCGCGAATGCTCCTCCCCATAATATACTGGCGGGAGTCAAAGGCACGGCCAAAATTCTTGCCCCCAGCCCCCAAATACTGGCGGGAGTCACACATTTCCAAGCCAAAACGTGGCCAATGTGTTGAATTTCAGTGTGGATCCAGCTTTGCCCAGGCCAGAGCCCGATGGGTTCTGCAAATAACAGGGGTCGGGAACCTCCTGGAGGTCGCGCCACACCTGCGAGTACAAAACCCATTTCTCTTTACCGCCAACCCCAGAGGCCCTAGGGTACCCATATTAACCCTGGTAGTACCCTTTAGTAATCGTAACCCTCACAAACCCTCAATAAGACCAAGCTGCATGATGAAAAGAACCTTCAGCCCCCGTCATACTCCTGAACCCCTCGACGGCAGAGTTCGAGATTAGCTTCCCGATTTCGGTGCTTCGGTGGGGTTTAGGGCCGAGGGCTTCATACAAATGTATTTGTATGCGCGTACTTGTGTGTGTATATACAGACAGACAGACAGACAGACAGAAAGACAGACAGCCAGCCAGCCAGCCAGCCAGCCATGCAGGCAGGCAGGCAGGCAGGCATGCATGCATCCATAGAAGGATTTGTTGACAGTGTTCTAGGGGTTCGAAAGGGATTGTCTACGGGTTCAGGGTTCCAGGCTTCGGGTCTGACGAATCTGGGCTAGGAATTTGTGTTTACGCTTGTGCACTTTGGGTTTAGGGTTGAGGGTTCCTTTTAAATCAATAGCTCGCTCGTTCTCATCTTTCGAAGATATGTCAAGCTCTTCCAAGGTATTCTTGGCGCTGCAGCAGGCGCTTCGCCGAGGGTTTTGCTCGCAGGCTTCATGGTTATTCGTCCGCTATTTTATGTCAAAGCAATGAGGACTTCAATTGTGGGTTGAGGCACTCACTGTTCTGCTTGCAGGGACAATCCCCGCGAATCTAAGTCTAATTGACCTCAAAAGACCGGCCATACTGCAAGTCCATCTTTGCTAGCTTCCAAAAACCCGGCCTGCACAGCCCTGAGCAATATGAGACCCTACAAGCCCCTTTCAAACCCTAAACCCTAAACCCTAAACCCCGAGATACCCTAAGCCCCCAGCGCTCATAGTCTGAATCTCCGATGGAAATGATACTTCTCCAGCGGCCTGTGGTAGCAACGAGCTTATGGTTTAGGCCACGGGTTCAGGGCGTTGGGTGTAGGGTTTAGGGGTTTAGTGTTAAGGGTTGGGCCAAAGGTTTAGAGTTTAGGGTCTTGGGTTTCGGGTTTGAGATTTCGGGTTCCCGGGTTTAGGATTTTAGGGTTTTGG